TTTAACACCAATGTCATGACCATGTAAATTAACTTTATTAATTAATTGAAAAAATTAAAATTAAATATAAAACCAGCAAAGGTGATTATTAATAACTCAAAATATTATAACTATTTACCTATTTAATAACCCGTCAGCTTATTAGTGAATATATCGTGACCATAACATTAATAAAATAAAATAAAATAAAATCAGAGCCATTAACATTGTGGGACCCACAATGTTCCGCCTTCCTTGGTCTTGTTTACGTTGTCTACTATCTGCTGTAGAAAATCGTCTGGTGTTTCGTTAAAGAGAAAACAATTAACAGAAATCTAGAGAGAGAAACAGAGAAATGGAATGCTTTCCTCTCTACTGTTCAATTCCTCCGATTCTTCCACTTCCAAGAACCCTTCTGCTTCCCTACACTCACTCCTTCTCCAACTTCCCTTCCCCAATAACTCACCCTCGCCGCCGTTCTCCTCGATTCGCGGCGAATTCTGGAGATACAAGCCTCACCAGTTCTTTGGCTTACTCCATCCTCGGCGTCGACTCCGGCTGCTCAGCCGTCGACCTCAAAGCTGCTTTCCGCACTAAAGTACGGTTACCAACTCTGTTCCTCCCTTCAATTCAACGTAGGTCCGATTGTATGATTTGCTGAGAATACTGTTTTCTCTTTTTGTAAAATTGCTGAGAAAATTGTTGAAAAGAAATTAAATGTTCAGTTTCTTCTTCTGCATACAATGTTTGAGCAGTGGATGCAGCAAAATCCAGAGTAGAAAACGGGAAATAGCAATTTTGTTCCTTTTTTTTTTTTTGGTTTTTTAAATCTGCTTATGCTAATTCGGAGTGACTTATTATTTAATTGTTTTTCTTTTTTAATTTTGTTTATTTTTTGGGTAAAAAGGTGAAGCAGTACCATCCTGATTTGAATAGAAATGGTGAATCAGACGCAATGATCCGCCTAATAATCAAAGCATATGAGGTATTATTTTTAGTTTTGATGTTAGCATTTAGATGTATGAAAATGTTTGAAAATTAAAATTTGATATATTTCTTTGAAAATGTATCAAATTTTTATGTTGTATATATCTTATATATTTCTGTTGCCTTTGATCATACTCCTTCTGTTACAGTTATTTTGGGGTGCTAATTTGTCCCTCCAAATTTGTTTTATGTTGGTAGCTAGCTAGTGACTGTTCATAAATTTTCTGGTTTGCTTTTTCCTGCAGCTGCTATCTAATTACAGCCGATCAGAGATCATTGAGAGGTGAATTTCATTTTTTTTTTTTCCGGTATGCTTTTTTCGAGACAGTTAGATGTCATGTATTTTATCTGTTCAATTCTAGCATTGGCATTGGTAGCAGCTGCATAAAAAAGCTTATTACTTCGGAATTTGTCGAAGAGCTTAGTCTATTACCAATATATTTTTTTAATATTTCTGTATTCCACCAATTGAATTGCATATTCAATCATCGGTTGTCCTTCCTTCATCCCCTTGCATTTGATCTTTTACTAGCTACTGCCTTAGTGCCCTTTTCTTTCTCTATTCTTCAAAGGACATCTTTGTAATATGGATGCATTTTTACTAAGCTCATTTGTGAAAATGTGTGTAGGGAATGTTTAGATCCCTTTGACAAACCAGAATGCAAAGCATTTGATATCTTTGTTAACGAAATTCTTTGTGCTGGAAAAGGTAATGATGAGTTCACTTGTTCACAACTCCCTGGAACTTTATCAGAAACTTCCTCATTCAGCTTTCTTTCATTTCATTACTGTTTATTTCTGAAGAAATCATTTAGTTTAACGCAGAAATGGATGTTTCACTGTAGATATGCTTCAGTCCTAGCTTTTGTGTAGTTTGTTGATCTGTAAATGCACATTTATATTTGTTTCAATAAACTTTTCACAATGTCATTCTTATTTCTGAACCATCTGCAGCATGCCCATATTCCTGTGTGGAGAGAGCACCTCATGCCTTCACGTATGCTTCTTCAACTGGGACTGCACGAGCTACTTCTCAAGGTCAGTTTGTTCACCAATACTTCTTTGTTCAGCTTGAGCATACTTTCAAATACCACAAATGGTCCTTTTTTCTGCCAAAATATGCCTATATTTGGGGAGTTTATAGCTTTTATAGCAATGACTTGTTCTCCAATTTAAGTTAATTCTGCATTTAATCAGGACATGGTGAAGATTACCAAGTTCAGCAAGCAGTTGGTCAGTGCCCAAGAAGTTGTATCC